CTCTCCACTACTCTCCTCGCATGCTCAATATCGCATGCTCTCCTCTTCCCAACATAATATATGGTTCTCTCTACCTCAGGCGACTTATAAATGATTCATTCCATCGCCCAACGTCCGGTTCTCTTCAAAGTTCTCCCTCAATCGCCCTGCATCTCTCGCTCTCGCTTTGCATCTCTCGCTCTGTCTCTGCATCTATTCACTCTTCGCCCCTGGTACGATTCTTAAATGTTGAGAATTGCTTCTTGATTTTATTCAAGGTTGCTTTGGGTTTTAGGGTTTAATTTTTTCCCCTTTGTTTTGGGTTTGAGGGCTTGAAGCAATACAACAGTTTGGTGTAAATCCTCAGCATATCACTCCACCATGTTTGCTCGATTACTCCATCTCCACAAGTACATTTAATATCAGGTTTGAAATCTCCGCTCGATTTCTACATCTCCTGTACAAATTTATCATCTCCAGGTTTGAAATTTATCATCTCCGGATTTCTCGAATTCTCCACTTAATCTCTCATGTCCAGGTTTGCTCGATTMTTGGATTCGGCTAAATGTGTTAAATTTATTTGATTCTACTRCTTCTGTGTTTGATTTTTTAGATTTCTTGCCTTTAATTTCTTTGTCACCATTTTGATGAAGACCTAAGTGTTCGATCAAATCTTTCCAATGAGAGTTTTTGGTGTTGACCGGTCTTTCAGCGCCGAATACTTCTTTGTAATTGGTATTTTGTTTAGGAAGGTATGTATTTTTATCTTGGTAAAGGGTTTGCAAATACTTCCCTGTGTTTGCTCTATATTAGATCTGTTATTCATTGACTTATCAAAGAGAGAAAAATTGTATCTCTGTTGTTCTCCCATTTACTTTTGAAATAGAAGTGGTACTTGGAGAGAGTCAATTTTATCAGGAATAAATCAGGAGAGAGTCAGCAGGGTATGATCATTGTAGCAAGTAATTTTTTTTCCCATGAGGTGGCATGAGGCTCTAGCGGTGGGCTGCAGGAGGAGGAGTTAGTAGTTGATGTATCAAATGAAAGCTGACAATGCATCAAATGACCATATGGTTGAGATAACATTTTTAAGCCCTCTCTTCCAATGGAAGATCATGATTCGTTTCTGGTTATAAAAGCTGATTATTTATATGCAAATTTGGTATGAATTTTTGATGAACTTCAGTACCAATGTTATTTTATTTGTAGCACTTGTAAGGTTTGATGGAAATAGCAGCTTTTCTAAAGGAAGTTTGGAAACCCTATTTATTGAAGTTGAAACCTAACTTATTTTTGAAGTTGAAACCTAATATAGTAACGAGGGTCTGTTTGTCAGTTAAGGTCAAAAATGGACTGATTTGGGATATTGCAAGTAAGTTTTTAATTAAGGGTTGATGATAGAGTCAGCCGTATGCTTTTGCCTGAATTGATTTATTTAATACTCTTTACAGATTGAGGTAGTGAAGAARTCAGTTGACCATGCTTTGAGWTGCATTGACCAATGGATGTCCCCAAAGAAGGTTTGCAAGATCCTTCTTGTTTTCTCAGTTATAGAAGATCAATACTTATAAGTTCAATTTAATGATGTACTGCATAAGAACATGAATTACCCTWTAATTTGCTTGAATTTTCAATGGAGTGTTAGCTTTTTATTTAAGTTGGTTCCACGGGTTATAATTTATTTTCTAKAATTGTAAGGATTAGTGATCCATGTAACTTTGAGCAATAGCCTTGTAACTATATTTATTTTACACTAAATGGCCCCCTTTTTATTAATAGAAGTATTCCACAAAATGGAGTTATGGGAAAAAGGGTGTAGGTATTGCTATTTATTTGCTGCCAGCATAACTCATGTGGCTTAGTTTTATGGTCTGTGTATTAGTACTGTATGTCGTTCATTGATTAAGAAAGCTAGCATGTTAATGATTTGMTTCTATGATGTGTATATTATCATTGCATATCATTCATTGATTAAACTAAAGCTAGCATATTAACAATTTGCTTTCTTTTGTGCTATAAATCTTATTCGGTCCTACTTTCAGTTAGTTTGGTTCTTAGATAAAGTAACTTTCATATGCATACACTTCTTACAAAATAGAAAAAGTTCAAGAAAACCAAAGTTRACAAAGKATTTAGACGTTATAGAAACAATATTCATAAGATTACTCCTATCTTAGAAGAGAAAATGTACATGCTTTTCTTGTCTTTACCACATCCCCACTTGCAAGGAGCAACTGCATTAGTTAGATTGAACCTGTGGATGATGATGTTAGTTGAGTAGCAAGTTCTTTCTTTGCTTTTAGACACATGATGTATTTTATAGTGAAGTGCAATGAGGTTCCACTTGGACTACTTTAAACACTAACTAATATTTTATATATTAAGCTATGGTGAGGCATTCTTTGGCATCTAGGACTACTTTAAACTTCTTAATAGAATTTAGGTTGCTAAGTGGGTTCATTTTATTTTTTATTTGGTGGTGGAGTTTAAATATTTCTTTCATGATATAAGAATGTTGAATCCATGATGTATGTATTATGTAATGCTCTTGCACATAGTGCCAGTAAATTAACATGCCTATATATATATATATATATATATATTTCTGAGGAGCAAGTTCTTTTTTTGCTTTTAGTGGAGAGAGTGGAGCTGGTAAGATTGAAAGTACAAAACAGCTGATGCGATATCTTGCTTACATGGGAGGTAGAGCAGCTTCAGAGGGAAGGAGTGTCGAACAGAAGGTCCTGTAGGTGATCACTCATCACATTTGGTCACCCTCGGGAACTTTTAAGAACGGAGATGATTTTGATTCTTGATTTGATGTCTTTGATGACACATTTAATCTTATTGAGACCACTTAAACTGTTCATATGTTTTATATGTTGWAGTCCAATCCTGTCTTAGAAGCTTTTGGTAATGCGAAAACTGTGAGAAACAATAACTCAAGGTGAGGTGAGTTATTGTCTATTGCCACCATTTCAAAGTGTTTTCAATGTGATAATTGAAAGCTTCTTCCTTGATTGCTGGTTCAAAGTGCACTGAAATATTGGCCCAATTGTTCATATGTTGTGCGTTGGTTGGCATTGTACAAAAATATGTATTACCAATGCTTTATGTGCAAATTTGCACCCTTCTGCATATTCTGCTTCTATTGATCCTACATTAGAAKGATCAAATTCATAGGTATCATTCTCTTGATTGCTGGAGGTGATCACTCTTCATATTAGAATGATCAAACTCGGGTAAGTGAACATAAAGTCACATTATTTTACCGGATGAACATGGTAAGAACCAAAAATCTTACCTGGTAAGAGCGAGACAAGGAATAAGAGTCATACCCGGTAAGTGAAGGCGATGATTCTTACCACGGTAAACACTTACCGGGTAAATTATTGCATATGATACCGTTTTGGTGGACTAGAATCTCACACTGTAAATAAACGATAAGTGTTACATTTTACCGGTAAGTGCTTACCGGGTAAGTGTTTGATAAATGGTCTCTTAATGAATTTACTACATCCCGCCGCATTGCGCGGGTAGACAACTAGTTTTGATAAAAGCAAAAACAAAATGCCCATTCAAAGGGCACTTTGACAGTTATCATCTATGCATCCGTAATTTTTCTGTATTTTTCCCACTACAATATTAATTAAATATAAATATTAATTAAACATATTATAATTATTAAAATAAATATATAATTAATGTGATAGTCCCATATATATAATCTTATATATATATAGAGCTTGCAAATATAATTGCAAGAGGTGAAAGTCTGACAACCCAATTCTAACCATGTGACATGTCATGTGTAATGAAATACTGTTTGCAATTACATAAATAACCGTGTGTGGATATCCTTATAGGCAATGCCAAATATTGTTGGTAATATGATAAGGGTATCATTTGATACCTGTTATGTTTTGATCTGTTGGATAATAGTATAAATAAATTTTTTATCTGTTACATGTTTATCTGACATTTTAGTGGGTAGGATATAGATAAACGATTTTTCATTATCCATTACTAGTTACTGATTACGATACACACACATAATGAAAATTCCATTACTAGTAAGTGTTCATATGCTTTACGAGTATGTGATTCAATGAATATCTTGACTGTTTTCTAATATAAGGTGTTGATCATAATAGTAAACTCTTCAATTTTTTTCATAGATATGCAAAGTCTTCTAACACGTGACTCGACACTCTGGGACAAGTTGTACTTGTTTAGGCCCCTTATTCATCTAACCCCCTCTCGACACTGTAGAACAATCAATGACAGTCCGACCTTTGTCGGAGGATGTGTGTTAGAGTTTCATATTGACTATACTTGAATATTTGTTCTCAATATATGTTGAAATATATTTTTATTTTATGAGAACAGAAAAACATATTTTTTACCATGTTCAATCACATGTGAAATTATATGCATCATGCATAATACACATGTGATACTTTATTAGAGGTACAAACGACCTTTTGTGCGACCATACTAAGTCGTCCTTATACCACCAGGCCCCCTCACGTATATTATCATATGTGATAAAAGTGTTTTTAATGTTATAATAAGGGGGTGTTTGAGATTGCTTATTTGAAACAACTTATGTTTTTCTGCAAAAATTATTATCAACTTATTATAAGTAAAATGATTTAACTTCTTCAAAAACTTTTTATTACCGGTTTGATATCAATATAAATTATTTATCTAAACACTCAAATATGCTTATTACTGGTGTCACACCGGTTGAAGCGAATTAAGTTATTATCCTTTAAACATCAGTCTATAATTTTTTAAAATAAAGTATGATACATGTAGGGCTGATTGTGGATGGAGAGGGAGAAGTTGATTTGTACTCGTTTTGTGGTAATCTGACGTGTAGACGGATGATGTGTGCTACTGCTAACGAACCAATGGGATACGAGATGTCACGTGGCTCGGTACGGGGCTGAAATTCGATAACTGTGGGCCTGCGCTGTCCTCATCCCATCCTTTTTGGCAACGTCGACTCTCCATTACCTGAGCGCGATCGACATTTGTTTCAGATACGTACTGGATATAGAGATGGAGGACGGATCCATGGGGGCTTTAGTGCCGGCGGTAACGTCGAAAGACAAAATACGGATTTCCGATGCCTTCCCGTCGGATTCCGGCGCCGGGAAAATGGTTGAAGCAGAAGGAGAACCGGAAACGACGGATAAGGAGTTGTTGTGTCCGATTTGTATGCAGATAATCAAGGATGCATTCCTTACGTCGTGTGGACATAGCTTCTGCTACATGTGCATCATCACTCACCTTGACAACAAGAGTGATTGCCCTTGTTGCGCCTCTTCGCTCACCACCAGCCAGCTCTTCCCTAATTTCCTCCTTGATAAGGTTTTTTTCCCCAATAATTTCGTACTCTTTCTTGTTTACATGTTTTCTGTTATGGTTTCCTGTTTGTGAATCGCTTAGTAACGAATAACTGACATGAATTACTGGGGAAAGAAATGATAGCTATTGTAGACTACATAAAATCCTAAAAGCAAATCAATAAAATATTCCTGATACTTCTTATTAGTAATCGAGTCCTTAAGTGGATCTGATGAGTTAGAGATAGGTCAATCGCAGTAACTTCATAGAAGGGAGGCCATTACTCTTTTGTTCAGGCATCTTCTGCAGTATGGGTGTTAATTACCGTCGTGATTTGTTTTTTGTACCCCTTCGTTGCAGTGCTTTTTTCTTCTTCTTGCAAGGTCAATATCAATTAGAAGCATACCGACTGGAACATGCTTTTGCATGATTTGTTTTCCCTCTGTTATGCAGATTGGGTGCAGCTTCCAAAATAAGTCTTGTATGGTGTAAAATAGCTAATTATTCAAAATTATTCTTTAATATTTGCAAATTTGGAGACTGGATTGCAATGATGGAATGAAATGAGTATGTTATTAGAATACTATATGAGCCAATATATAAGAGGCACCTACGCCGGCAAAACGTAACCTATCACATTTGTTAGTTGGTGACCGGCTTTATGATGCACCATGTGGATGTGGCATTAAATACTAGGGGTCTAGACATCACTCTTCAAATGGACTAGTTCCTGGGTCTGAAAAATGAGCAATGTTCTTTACACTTATGTAACGAGTGAGTGTGTGTTACATGCACTTAGGATTGGTTTGTGTAGCTAAAACGTAGACCGCTTAACAGGATTCACAAGTAGTTGGCTGATATGTAAGTAGGATAGTCAATATTGTATGTGCTGAAGAAACCAATTGGGTAGGTGAAAAGGCTAAGAAAATAGAAATAAAAGCTTTAAGTTATGAAGAGGAGTAGAAATGATAATAGACAATAACTAAAGAAATAAAGTGGTCAAGCTGTGAATGTAATTTTTGTAAATTTCTATGAAGTAGGTTTAACTGAATCTACGAGGAAACACTTTTGGGAATATTGGAATAACTAGGAGTTATAGAGGTTTGTCTATAACCTATTAGTGAAACTGCATGGTTGTAAATTATTCATAAAAATACCTGATTCCCACATGCTAGTTTAACACAATTGTATCTTATGAACTATGTATACGAGTCTACTTCTAGTTTTATTGGGTTATCTTTTTTGCATACTGAAGTCTGGTACTGTGAGGTCTTTCAAATGGACTTGGTATTTGTTACATCCTAAATTAGCTGTATCATCATCATTTGTGATCCCTCTACTCCAGCATGGTTTGTACCTTGAAAGAATTTAATTCCCAATGCAGCTTATTGTTAAAGGTTTCTCTTTACCAAATGTAGCTATTGAAGAAGACTACTGCTTCCCAAGTATCGAAAAGTGCCTCCCCGTTAGAACAATTTCGCCAGGAATTAGTCCAGGTAAGTGCTCATTAAGGAGCATAGTCACTATGCTTTTCCAACGAATAAATCTGAACTATGTTATTGTAATCACTTTAGGAAATGCTGTACATTTATTCCCAGCCTCTATGTTTATCAAACTGACATAAACATGAACTTGTATATGAATTTATGCAATTAAAATATTTTTTTATTATTTTTTTAACTTCTATAAAATATTCAGTTGATAAGTTTGTCTCAAAACATTTAATATGTATTACGTATCACAATGTCAAATTGATGCCAAGTCTCATGGATGAAACCAAGGAAAAACTTTCATCATTTTTTGGGGCAGTTAAAGGTTGCTAATACATCCAAAATTTTACTGCCCTTCTTTATGAGTATATAATTCATCTACTCTGAATTTACATGGTAATGAATTGACATGTAAGCTTTAAAATGATTTTGAACAAGCAAATGACATCTATCATAAAAAGCAACTGATACTAGTACAGATGTATTTCATCTACTTCTTTTATCAACATTGCAAGAATAGAAGCAATATATGAAAGTAATTTATTAAAATGTTTGTAAAAAGAAGGTGTGATCTTTCGATCACTTCGGGAATTCAAGTTCCTATATCAGCCGTTTACTGGATTTGCCTATCTGTGCACTGTGTCTATATTTATGTTGGCCATGCCATAAACACAGTAATTTGCATTCACTAGACTATTTAAGTTCCTGTGTACTTTGTCTACAACTGTAATTGTGACGCTCCTTGCGATCCTTAGACAGGGTTACGAAGTCTCAGTAAAGGAACTGGACACACTATTATCACTGCTTGCTGAGAAGAAAAGAAAATTGGAGCAGGAAGAAGCTGAGAGAAATATGCAAAATCTTCTCGACTTCCTGCAGTGCTTAAGGAAAAAGAAAATTGATGAACTCAATGAGGTTTGTCTCATGAATTTCAGTATGTATATTAATGTGGTGTTTCTTTAAACGGAGCTTCAAGTTCACTACTTACCTAGTTGCAGTTAAGCTTTTGGTTAATGTTTAGGTCAGGGAATTTGCTAATTGTCAGAAATAAGGATGATAACTGAGACAATCATATTAATTATAGAAGGGTTTTCTGTGAAACATTGCAACCTGTGTTGCTTAACTGTCATCCATAAAGATTTCTATAACATACATTCACAATAATGGATCAATTTTTTTTTCCCAGGTGCAAAGTGATGTTCAGTATATCAAAGAGGACATTGGTTTGGTAGAGAGGCGTAGGATCGAGTTATATAGAGCTAGGGATAGGTATTTGTTGAAAATGCGGATGCAGGCTGGTGAATTAACGGGATCAAAATTTTGGTCTTCTTCATCAATAGATAAAGACAATAGTGACCTTGTATTTGCGTCTGGAAAAGCACATGGAGTTCCTAGAGGTAATCTGCAGTACAGGAATGTGGATGGAAAATCTCAAGCTAGTTCACATGGAACCCAGCGGAAAGAGGCTTCCAGTGGATTGAGTTCACAAAATATGAGTCAATCGAGTCTTGCTGTTATACGGAAAAAACGTGTTCAGTCTCAGGTTAGTTCTTGCTTTACATTGGATGATTGCAAACTTACTTTTAAGGTAAATATATATTTCTTGTGTAAAGATGATTCAGGCCTTGACTACATCTCCTTTTTTCCCCTTGTTTTCTTCTTTTCAACATTCCCCCTTCTATAAAATCAGATTTTCCTGATCTTTTAAATGACTAAAATCAAAGGTAAAGGGTTGATGACTTTGACAATTGGGAACATGTCTGCTAGGCCAAGTACATTTCTAAGTGTCCATTAATTGAATTTCGGTTGCATTTAGTTTTGTTGAATATAGAGTAATGCTGTAATAGAAACTGGAAAAAGTACAAATGAGTTTTTCTTTGGGAGAAAATTAGTAAAATACTGGATAAATTGCAATAAAGCACTGACGTTAGCCCACTGTTTTAAGTTGGTTTAGTTCATAGATACATTCCACCCCCAAGAAGTCAAGGACCCCAACCTTAAGAGTTTCTGACCAGTATCGTAGCTTATTCGTTGTTGCTGAAAGATGAGAGAACTTAGTAGGAGTAAGCTTCTGGATTTGGTTTTTGGTCCTGATATTGATGATAACAATTTGCATTTGATTCTAAGACATCAATGTTCATATTATATTTGACCCATGAATACCTATTAGGCATGGAGGATATCTTTCGGTGATTTTAATTTCTAAATTTGTGCTTGCTATTTTATTTGGAATGTTCATACCTTTATGGATATTAGTTTCGCTTAAATGGGCATGAATCATACTCGAAATGCATGGAACTTTGTGGTGAAGTTACTTAAATCATCTGTGACTGTCTTCACATGTTGATCCTTTTGCTATAAATTGATCATTTAGAAGGATAACATGCCTAATAAGATTTTACTGTCTCATCATTGCCTGCAGTTCAATGACCTGCAACAATGTTACTTGCAAAAGCGACGTCCATTAGTGAACCCATTACAGAACCCTAACAGTAGGGATGGTGATGCCATGCAAAGGGAAGGATATAGTTCGGGATTGTCAGATTTTCAATCTGTACTGTCTACCTTTACTCAATACAGGTATCTATGATCATTCATTTGTTTGTGTAGATGCTATGGAAGTATAGGTAATTTATTTCATGTAATATTTTCTCAAACAGTCGACTAAGGGTGATTGCAGAACTTAGGCATGGCGAGCTCTTCCATTCAGCCAATATTGTATCTAGGTATGATCTCAATTCTATGATTTTTATGCTTGTTTCATTTGTGGTTAGCAAAACAATTATAAATTTATATTTGAAGCAATGGGTATCCAAGCTTGCTACATGCTACTCATGGATGTGGTAGTTCGTGAAAGCATATTAAAGTCCTCTCCTTGTTTATTGTTTCCGATGGTCTTTTTATAGGACACCATGATGTTTTTGCTTGTCTTTGTTTAATGTATTGTGGGTAAATGATTCAAGTGAAAATTTGTTGGTTCTGGCCATATTATATTTCTATATTCAAGTATAAATCTGTTGGTTCTGTTCTTATCAGTTTATTATTTTCATATTTGCATGAATGTATTTACAGATAATCGTAAGTCAACGTTTTAAAGGATCCAGATTCTTAAATATCGACATATTGAATTCTGTGTTCAGACATCTAATGGCAGAGACGATTGATATTTTCATTTTATCAAGTACTTAAGGTTTTGGTCCATTTTACAAGTGTTGGGCCAATAACTTTTGAAATAGAGAAGTTGAGTACATTATGCAGGGGACATATGCTTACCTATCATAGTCATAGGTATAAACTGCATCTTGTTTGGCATTGGTCTTTGGTTTTTACATTAATCTTATATGTTCTAACATTTATCTCTTAAGTTTTTTATCTTTTACAAATGAAAGCTTGGTCTCTTACTTTTACTAGATGCTGAAATTTGCATTGTGTGATTTTCCACAGCATTGAATTTGACCGTGATGATGAAATGTTTGCTACTGCTGGAGTTTCAAGGCGTATAAAAGTTTTTGACTTCTCGACGGTGAGCTTTTCCTTTCCAGCTCCTTCCTTTAATAGTAATATTGGCCGTGTATGGGGTGACAATGGACTTGCAGTTTCACAGAGAGTGGTGCTTCATAATATTTAAGTATAAAAAATGGACTTATCAGGTATTATGAACAAACGGAAATTGGTGGGAAAAGGATAAATGGTTGGATGCTTATATATCTAAATCAACAATATTATTATTTTTCAGATATTTCTTGTGGAAATGGCTTAATTGATTGCAACTGTTGGAGCATGGTTTTTTTTCTTATTATTTCTATTTGAAGACCTGGGAAACCTGGGGCGAGTAAACCAGTTTTTACTTCCCTACTTATCGTTGCACCCCTAGTGACGCCCCAACAATTAAGGAAAATTCCATGACGGCTGCCAATCATTTTTCCATTCTTTTCTGTTTTGATACTTCTCTGTTCTTCTGTTGTTATGACACTAAATCTTGAAACTGTTGTGAAATTGTAAATACTGGTTCTGTGTTTGGATGCTCATGATTGACGTGCTACCTTACTTTCAGGTTGTAAATGAACCCCCAGAAGTACACTGTCCTGTAGTGGAGATGCCCACACGATCAAAGCTTAGTTGCTTGAGCTGGAACAAGCATACAAAAAACTATATAGCTAGTAGTGATTATGAAGGAATAGTAACTGTGTGGGATGTGAATACTCGACAGGTATTGGATGCTGGTTACAAGAGAATTTCAATACTTCTATATAAAACTCTGCTCGTGTCATGTTGCTTGCACTTCTCAAGATTAAGGATTAGAAGACAGTGAAACCTTTCTATTAGAGTTGTGTTGATTATTTTGTTACTTCTGCACTTTCAGAGCGTGATGGAGTACGAAGAACATGAAAAACGGGTCTGGAGTGTTGATTTTTCACGCGTAGAACCATCAATGCTTGTATCGGGTAGTGATGACTGTAAGGTACTATTATTGCATATTTTTCTTCCCATAAGCTTACCGATTTTATACATGTTCATTTATTTATTCGTGAGTGGTCTGTATTACTAATAGTCAGTAACTGTAGCTTCTCATCTTAAGTTTGATTCTTTAGTGAATTGGTGGCTTGTACAAGTTAGTACTTTAGCATTGCAACACCAAGGTTATTACTGTAGTCAATGAAGTACTTCATGTGAAATGCATGAAATGTTTCACTTTTCATAGCCGGAAGTTATTGATTTTTAGACTCCTTCAGTTTAATTTATTAACCTCATAAAAAGCATATATGTATGGCATGTTTATGATGTAGCAAGATCTTGTTTCTTCCTCAGTAGTTAGAGATGTGAATATCTCTTGTAAGCTGGTATTTTTTTCTCTTCATTTTTTCTTTTCCAAAATGTATGGTCAGTAGAGGTTAACCTCAAAATCTTGAGGAACCTCAAACCTGACCACAAAACTCGCCCCATTATGTTTTTAGCCTTGGGTTAACTTTCAGTTTGGTTAGCGGTTAACGTGCATATACAAAACATAAATACTTACATCTGTATTGATTCCATGACAATAATTCCTACAAATCCAAAAGTATTGATGTTTCTTTGAACCAAACCAAAGAAAGGAGCAGAAAGAATTATGAGTTTCGGAATTTCAACAGAACGAGTTTGAACACAAGCCGTGAAGAAAGTTCCGGATCTTCTGAATTAGTTCATTAGAAATTTTTGGCTTTTGAGATTAGAGGAATTCGAAATATTATATATAATTTTCTAAAAACATTTATTTTGTTTATATATATATATAGTTATAACTGGGTTGGTTAGATACTTAGATTTACAGCTTTTATCAAAGTACCGAATTGGAACTGAAACACATAATGCGGATCACCAAATTTTTTGAACCAAAACCACATTGCTTAGTTAATCTCGTTTTCAGTTTGGTTCAGTTCAGCGGTTTTTTGGAACTTATCTAATGGTAAGCCATAAACTTCTCGTTGTGCATGCTCATGTTCTTTTTTCTTCTTCATGGTCCGATCGTATTGCTAATTTTGGCATGGTTAGAAAGTATTCTAAGCAAAGTGAAATGTGATAGGTTGAGTTCGTTAGTCCATGTAGGTGGAATTTGAAGATTGGATTTTTACAATGATGCATTCTAGTATATACGCCTGAGCAAGAGAGTCATCTTAAGTCACTTAACATATTAAGAGTGTTTGGCATATGTTATTTTTATTTTGTATGGTATCTCATTCTTAGTCTTGCAGCTATTTTCGCTTTTACCAAACCAAATGTATCCGGTATATCTCAATTGGAAGTAGCGTTAGGGGGAGGGTAGATGTACCAAGACCTTTTCTTTACCTCAAGGAGTAGAGAGTCTGTTTCTGTGAAGATTTCCGAATTGCAAAAAAGTTAGGGAAGTCTTGAGGAAGTCTGAAACTTTGTCGGAACATTTTTGGAAAATTTGAAGATTTTGAGAAGTAATTGAGGAGCTTGATATAGTGGGCAAACCATATGTACAAACAGGCATCGAGGAAATAAGTGTGCAACATTTATCTATCCTAGTACACTATTCTGGCTTATATTTACCTCATTTGGCTCATCTTTTTCACACTCGTCTAATTAATCTTCAATCTGGGATCACAGGTGAAAGTTTGGTGCACAAAGCAAGAATCAAGCGCAATTAACATTGATATGAAAGCAAACATATGTTGCGTTAAGTACAATCCTGGGTCCAGCACTCACATTGCGGTAATTTTATTTGCTTTTTATTAAAGGAAGTAAAATATTGTCATTTCATTGCATTTCATCTTTTCTAATTTTTTGGGGCCTTTGACATCCAGTGCCGTCATTTCTTTTTTCTGTTCCACTATTCTATCATTTTTAGTGTTTTTGTTATCAAGCATGCAGAGTTGTGCTTACTCGCGTCATTGAGACTTGCTAAGAATAATCTAGAGGTTTTGAGTTCAAAGTTCACATTGGTGTATTGCCCAATGAATTACCACCAGGGATATATCAATAGGCAACTTGCAAAAGTTACCCATCTTCAAGTGTGGGACATATAGAGGCGGACCCAAATCTGTTTTTTAAGTGGTGGAACAAGTCACACACTTTGACCATAAAAACAAATCTATAGAAATGTTTGACGATATTAGTATAGAGTGGTCGGTTGATTCCTTGTCCTTGCACAGAAACAACCCATGTTCAAATCCGTGCTATAATATTTTTTAAACATAAGAGGTATACAAAACAAAACACCAAAATTTAAGCTGAAAACTTAGAAGTTTGACAAAAATGGGACTCGAGCCCGGGGTTTTTGTACAAATTGAGCAACATTTACTAACTCCGACACTTACAGTTTCAAAAACTATATGGTGGCACCCAACAAAACAATAAGGTGGCACCCTTCAGAAACATAACCACCCATGGGGACATAAATAGTTTTGGTTTTTATCGTTAGACTAATCTGATTTCCCCTTTCATCAGAAAACATTTACTACAATAATCAAGAAGCTACTATTTCAAGCTTCATTCATTTAGAATGACCTATGTAAACTGCATCCATGCATGCATATTCAGTCTTATAATCTCATCATTACACATTATAGGTACAGGCATGTCATCATCAATGCATGTAGATCATGGTTTTCAAGAGTTAGCCATGTGTGTAATTTAATATATCATGTTGATGATTATTTAGGGACAGGATCAATTGAGAAAATGGGAACCGACTATTTCATGAATTATTCATGATGAATATTGTGCATTTTGATCATCCAAGATATTCATCATGAATATTTGGTTCCCAAGATCTCAAAGTATTTACGGTTCTTATTTGAACTTGCCACTATTTTTTTACTCAAGTCCTTTATGGATAAAGCCGTCTGTGTGGATTAATCTATCTGTATAGATTGAGAAGGTTTTTGTTTGGGAGGGTTTTTTCATAGATGATAGGAGCATTTTTTATAATTGGGAGGGACAAGTTTGGAAAAAAAAAAACATGACTTTCTGCATAAAGCTCACGCCTAGAAGCTTACTGAATAAGCCACTTACTATATCATTAAGCCACTACCAAACAGTCATGTATAGCTCACCGAATAAGCTGTGGGCCCCATTAAGCTCATTAGGCTGCTAACAGACAGGCCTTAACATGATGATAAAAACTTCTACTTGACACACCTGCATCAACTAGAATTTAGCTGATTTCGTGTGTATTCCTAGTTCATTTTAAAACAAATATGGGAATATGCAGGTTGGTGCAGCTGATCATCATATACATTACTATGATTTGAGGAACACCAGCCATCCTCTTCATATCTTTAGCGGCCACCAAAAAACTGTTTCGTATGTAAAGTTCCTCTCCAGTGATGAGCTTGCCTCTGCGTCTACAGATAACACCTTACGCTTATGGGATGTGAAGCGAAATCTACCTGTGAGCTACTTTTCGCTTCATTTCTCACACTTGGCTTATTTTTGATTTCCCAGGTTCAAGTATTTTAACTCTATATATCATGCTTTATGCACGATATTTTCAGGTTCGTACCTTCAGAGGTCACACAAATGAGAAGAACTTTGTAGGTCTCTCGGTAAATAGCGACTTCCTTGCTTGTGGCAGCGAAACAAATGAAGTATATGGCTATCATAAGGTAAGTAACACAGCAAATTTGTTCATCTTTTTACTACATTTGGTGGGAGATTTTACCAGCTTTGGCAGCTAGAAATGTTACTCCAGTGCCCAACCCTTGAAAACTGAAGCAAGATGTGCTTTGGCTTTTGAAGCCAAAATTTGCACTTTCGGTTATTCATACTCCCTCCGTCCCAAACTAACTGTCTAGATAGAAAAGGCACGCAATTTTTTTTTTGATTATTGCACCTTTTAATTAACTAAATTAAAATTTTATTCTTATTTTGGGACAAACCAAAGTAGAAATGTGGACGTTATTTATTTTGGGACGGAGGAAGTAACTTATTACTGCATTTGTCCTACGAAAGTTGCAACGTCTGAGGACCCATGTAATGGAGGCAGTATAATTTTTGTTAAAATTTCAACGATAATATTTTTCCAAGTGTTATAGTTATTGCGAAGTTTAATACTTCCTCCTTCCCAAGGGTTCATAGTCTAATAAGAATGTTTTTAACTTATAGTCGAATATTTAAAAGAAAGAAGGATCTCATTGATCATATCGATATTGTGTAATACTCCCTCTTTAATAAATTCCTCTATCGGATATGATTAACGATGGACCTGGAATGTGTAGACCCTTGCTTTTGAAATTGGACACTTATTTTGTGACGAACTAAAATAGAAACACAAACATTAATTTTAGAACGCAAGGAGGAGTTTTTATTAATGGGTAAAGAGGTAAATTTGGTTTGAATATCGTGGATGATATTGACGAAACACCAAAAGAAAAGAAATTGTTGCATTTACTTTGGTACGCAAAAGTCAAATATTAGTCTGTTTGGCCATGACTTTATAGAATGAAAAATAGTGATGTGATTCTTATGGAGTTTCAGGCAATCTCAAAGCCTCTAACATGGCATAGATTTGGGACACCGAACGTGGAGGATAGCGATGAAGATCCAGGATCATACTTCATTAGTGCCGTATGTTGGAAGAGCGATAGTCCCACAATGTTAGCTGCTAACAGTCTGGGCACAATCAAAGTTCTAGTTCTTGCGGCATAAATCTTAACCTGTGAGTTAACCCATCAAAACCCGTCTTCTTTTCTTTGGTTTTTTGATTCCATTTAAGGGTGTGATTGGATCGATTAGAATACGCAACATTCAAAAGCAATTAGAAATGCATATGCGATGAGCAGTCTAATGCTTTTCATTTAAGCAATTAGAAATGCATATGTGGTGATGAGTCTAATGCTTTTCATTTGTATATACTGCATTCATCCATAGGAAGAGGAAACATTCTTTAGTTTGTAGGAGAAAAAAAACATTTTGATTGTAATTTATGCAGAATTTTGTCCCAATTGTGTTGATGTCATCAGGTAATGTGGGCATATGCATTTATGCATATGATTCCAGAAAACTTGGGGCCATTCGATAAACATTTACCCGGTAAGTGCTTGCCAAGTCATTATACCTTATCGGATGAACATGACAAGAGCTTAAGTTGAGGAGGGCATTTTGCTCATTGTCTTTTTAATTAAAAAAAACTTGGTATATAAGTATGTAAAACTTGTCTACAAACAGTTAAAAAGTATTTTGGAAAAATAAACCCACCTTGTCAGCATTCCCTCTTTTCTGACCACCTCTCCTTCCCTCTTCATTTTAATTTTGTCTGGAACTCATTTTTGCAGAAGTTAGTAACTAGATGTTAGAACTTTACGAACAAAATATGGTGGTACCTTCTCAAACTGGTGAAGTTGTTGATGGGTGTATAGGAGGCGTTGTTACTTAGAAGCCCCCTAAGAGAGTTCATGTTGACGAGGAACATGGTTCAGACAATGGTAATTCCAAGGTTGATGTTGCAACTTCCAAGGCTTACCTCAAATGTTGCATCATTGGAACCCTTTCTAATCCAGGTAATCATAGTGGCCCACCAAAAGCATCCGAAAACAGATGTAATGATTACGGAAAACATAGATAACGAGGTGTTGAAGATGAAGATGGACAACATTATGGGGTAGAGGATGGGAATGGTAGGGTAATAGAGACAAATACAAGTTACAGTTATGGACATATTTGGGAACTTGAGAAAAGGTTGGTGGCAGGAATGCAACTAAGAATTAGGGAAAGGTAAGGAGAAATAGCAGGGCCACTACCAGTCTTTCTTTCCTTTCGAGTACTAGGGCCACCACTCTGTATTTCTCCTTCACTTCCCTAGTTTCATTCTTGCCATTAGCTCATTCTCTGAGTTCCTTCCTTAAAAATGTAGTATGTATTTTCTTGGATTCCAAACCATTACCATCTTTTGTCTCGTAAAGCCGTTTTCATTACTTCAACGTATGTGTTTCCATGATTATTAATTTTGTTTTGGGATGCTCTTGGTCAGCATTTGTGATTATCTGGATCAAGAATGGGTCTTGGTGAGGTTGGATTTTGAGGTGCCAAGTCTGGGAATTGTATCATCGACCCGAGAATTACCATTTTTTGTACCATGTTTCTCGTCAACAACAAGAGCTCTTGTAGGGCCTTCCGATTTACGTCATTTCTCGTGCTTTAATGAAAAACTTCACTAGTTTGAGTAGGCGTCACCTTATCTTGTTCGTATAGTTCCGACATTTGGTTACTGACTTATGCAAAAACAAACGGCGGACAAAAGGGAAGGGGGACATGAGGGAGGCAAAGAAGAGGGGTCGGGTTTTTTCAATGCCTTAAATGATTGTACACTTAACTTTTTCAATAAAAAAAATAAAAATGGACTTGGCATTTGTTAGAGGTATGGATGAATAACATAAGCAAATTGAGACTATTGGTTGCAGTGTAATTTCAAAGTTGCAATTTACGGTAACAATTGATGGAGTTTGATCAAATCAGTTGGATTAATTAGCGAATGCTATTAAAATTTTAGGAAAAAGTTTAAAAAATTCAAATATATATATATATATATATATATATATATATATATATTAGAGAAAATTACATTAAAATAAAACCAACTACTTAGGGGGTGTTTTGGGATTGCTTAATTTGAAACAACTTATGTTTTTCTACAAAAGTGTTTATCAACTTATTATAAGTTAGAATGGTTTAACTTTTTCAAAAACTTCTTATTACCGTTTTGACACTGGTATAAGTTGTTTATCCAAACAATCAAAAGTGCTTATTAGGCGCTACATCGGAATAAGTCAATAAGTTGTTTTCATAAGTAATTCCAAACATCCCTTAAAGTTAATGTTGAAACCTTTTTTACGAAGGAAAAGAAAGTAAATGGAGGGAAAGAGGAGGAAAGTAAAAAAAACCGTGTTCTCAAAACTTTTTTAGGAGAGAAAGGAAATGAAGCGGAAAAAAAAAAATCATAAGTTTCTTTCCAAAACTTTTACCCCAGATGTATAAGGAAAGGGAAAAAAGGGAAAACAATTTAAAACTAGTTAGAAAATTATAAAAATACTCAACCTTTCGTAATAAATAATATATTTTTAAAGGTTATATTTGTAAAAAAAACACATTTTCTATTTGTTTTCCATTTTCCTTTCTTTTTAAAAATAAAAAGAATTATTTTTCTTTCATTTCTTTTCTAATAAAATTGGAGAAGACAACGTAGTTGAATATATAGACAAAAAAATTGATTCAATACTCAATATAATGATCTGAAAAGTTGGTTTCATTTTAATTAAACTGATGTTATATCTGTCCGTTGGTTGAGTACGTAATAATTAACAGACGAAACAAAAATATATGCTAATATGGCTTTGCTAGTCATGGGTAGAATGTGAACACGAATGATGTCTCATAATTTTTGGCATTTTGAGGACACAAATAATATTTTCTCTTGAGAATCATATATTATCAAGCTAGAACAACATAACACAAATAGCAAAATTAGGATTTTTGATTCAGGATGATAATAATAGAGACCAAGATAACTTTAGTTTGTCCTCTAACATGTATAGGAATGATGAGACCCTAAATTTTGGTTAATTATTATGTATTTATAATATTTAATAATATGATTAAATCTAAAAATATTCGATATTGGACTCATTTTGAAAGTATTGATAAGACGATTATAAAAAACAATTTTTAATGCATTTTAGTTTATGTATAATTATGTATTTAATATGATAAATGTATAAAAAGAAAAATAAGGGATTTATATGTCTATATATATAATATAGATAGATATAATATAGATAAAGGTGGAAAATGAAAAATTAAATATTAGGGATCAAAATTAAGTTTTAAAAATAATTTATTTATTTATGATATTTAATAATAGGGTTAAGTCAAAAAATATTCAATATTTGAGCTCATTTTAAAAGTACTGATGAGACCATGAGACGATTATAATGGTATAATTTATAAAATAAGAAATGTATCTTTTAATATATTTTAGTTCATGTATGATTATTTATGTTGATATGATAAAAAAGTGTAAAATGAAAAATGAAAAAGTAAAATGATATGAAATGAATTAAATAACTAATTAAAAATATAATTAAAAATTTAAAAATAATTTGATCTTAGTATCATCTTGGGACGCCGGACGCATGGATCGTGGGTGTGAGAAGTTGGTTTTCATATAAATTAAAGAAATTATAAAATATTCATAAAATCTTGTACTCTTAAATTTTCAAGATAACTGCAATCTTGAAAGTCCTTAATAAGCTGCTCTTAAACCTGTACATTCATAACTTCTCTTTTTAATATAATACAGGTAGTATAGACAAGGGGCGTAAAATAGAAAATAAAAAATTAAGATATTACAAATAGGCATTAAAAACAATCCATTATGTATTTATGTTACTTAATAATATAATTAAATCAAAAAATATTAAATATCAGACTTATTTTGAAGGTATTGATGAGATCATGAGACGATTATAATGATATAATTTATAAAAAAGAAACGTATTTTTTAATGTGATGCATCAAATTTATATCTCTTAAAAATTCAACAATAACCGTTTAACATGTTTTATAATATAGTATACATAGATAAATGTGTAAAATGAACATGTATAGATATGAAACAAATTAATTCGTATATATTTAATAGTATTATTAAATCAAAACATATTTAATATTTATCCCAATTTGAATATATTGACGAGACGATTACAATTGTATAATTTGTAAAAAAAGAAGCGTATCTTTTAAATAAATTTTACTTCATATATGATTTTTTTATTAACTTGGATATTCAACCTGTTTTGCGAGCCGACTAATCCCAAGGCAACCACCTGTTTTGTAGGTGGTCCGGAGTCACCGCATTTGAACCTCCGTGGCCACAATGAAATTTTTGTTTCTCCTTGGATTTGAACCTGGGACCTCCTGGTACTTTTGACATTTGGAGCCAAACTTAAACCAACCATATACCACCCTTGTGGTTCATATATGATTATTTGTGTTAATGATATTAAATGAAAAGTGAAAAAGTAAAAAGTAAAAGTAAATCAAATCATTAATAATAAGAGTATAAAATGTAATTTTAAAACCGAAGAGAGTTGAGGCTAACGATTTGAAAAGGAGGTTGAAAATGATTTAGGGGGTGTTTGAGATTGCTTATTTGAAAAACTTACGTTTTTTTTTACAAAAGTTCTTATCAACTTATTATAAGTTAGAATGGTTTAGCTTTTTAAAAAACTTTTTATTACCGGTTTGACACCGGTAAACTGTTTATCCAAACACTAAAAAATATTTATTATTGGTGTCATATTAAAATAAGTCAATAAATTATTTTTATAAGCAATTACAAACACCCTTGATATTAACCGTAAAATAAACAATTTAAAGATCTGACATTTAATATCAAAATCGATTTAAAGGCAAAAATTTAAAGGAAAATTCAAATAAAAAAATAACGACCGGGGCTCCATTTTGAGCTCTGACCGGACTTTGTACAACGCCGACACGTATCATCTGCCACCTCCACTCCGACGACAACCGCCGTCTCTATCCACATTCCACCTTACTCCACTCCTACACCATCACCCTCATCACCGTCTCTATCCACCATATTCCACTCGTATTATAACCGGAATAAATCCAAGGTACTACAAATTTTTTCATCATCTTCTTCTTCCTCTTTGTATTTGTCGATGTGATTTTCTCATTATAAGGTAAGTAGATCAAGAAGCCAGGCGTTGGCATGTTCAGAATCATCACCAAGCTCTCAGTAATGGCTTCCGAGAAGTTCGAATTTTGATGGCAGGGAGCTTTACACGCCTCCTGTCATCTTTGCCATGGTCGATGATGGCGTCTTCCTTTTGGCCACACCACCAACTTCTCCTTTCTGCGAACCCTAGGCATCTTCTCGGACTCTCGGTTGTGTAAGTCGATCATTATAGATATACATTGATCACCTGCCAGGATCTTATCGCACTTCACATATTCATTTAAATTAGTATTTTGTGGCTAAAATTGAGGTGTTATTTATGCTGTTGAATTTTATAGTCGACGGTTATCATGATGATTGATCAAGCTCCTGCTGTGGATCACCATCCCCTTGCATATTTGATTGACGATTTTGCTTTTCCTGTTGTTGATGTATGCGCTTTGAACTATATCCGGAGCAGACTTAGAGTAATCGGATTCAGTTTCGGAATTGAGAGGTATGAATCATGATCTTCTTACTGAAATAGTGGTCACTTCTCTAGTTGATTCCTTAATTCCATATCAGTGATTGTGAGGTTGTGTTTCATCATGTTTAGGATCTCAATTTTTGTTGGTGATTTTAGTGAAATCATTGGTTCATTTTATTTAATTCAGTTTACAAGAGAATATGGGGTTGGTGGTTAAGCTATACTACGGGCTAGGAGGTGTGGAGTGCACACTCGGTATACAAAAGGAGATCAGTTTATAACTTCTGCCTCTACACTTTTACTGCTTTTTTGCCACCATTTTTTTGTATATCTGCTCCATGCACTTCTTGTAATGCTCTTTGTCATTCCTTCCACAATGTCTAGCAGCTCATGTGAAATCCCATGGTTTATCATAAAACATTTACGCTATTAATTCCACACTAATGCAAGCCACATGACTGAAAATGAAGAGCATAAGTCAAAGAATCCTCCCTTCTGACAAGCATCTTTAATCTTGTCCATGGTAGCTCCTCCCTCTTTACCTTTCAGCTTCTCCATGAAAATCAAAGGGAAGTTCCCATCTCTTTGTTTCTGCATAATCTTTGTTATACCTTGTCATGCATGTTTGGTTGGTTACATCTGATGAACAATGCAGAATGTTGTCTTTCAATTTTTTATAGGAGATGAAGTAGCCTTTAAGATAAATAGGATGTAATGGGCACATGCCTGTCCATGAAAGGTCATGCGGATTGGAAACAGAAGTTGTAAAATCTGATCCATCTGGGGAATAGTTTGTGTTTGCTTTACAGTCTGAACCATAAAATAACCAAAATTAAGGTTTACTTGTTAAAAAAGTACAAGTTATAATTGCACAAACATGAGAAATAAGTGTGTTGCATAGTGGACATTCCATTCCAATTTTTTTCATCCTCTTTAGTTGGATAGGATTTAAGGACCTTTGGCAGCTAAACGGTAACTTATGGCTTCTAAAATGGAAGAGCAACCTCAATGTTGAAATTTTAAGAACCACCTTCAGCACTATTTGAATAACTAATAAGGATGTCCGATAAGAACCTTGAATTTTATTTTGGGATCATGGTTTGGACCTGGAAACATGTACCTCAGCATTAAATAGAACGATGATTTTGCATTTCAAGAGATGAAGCAAAAGACGACAAAACCATTTTTGTCACATTGCAATGAATAGTAAGCACACTTAACCTGCTAAAATGACTAAAATAATGAGATAAAACTCTTCTTGACACCGCATAGAGATGAGAAAAGGAAAATATGTGTAGTTCTCAGTTGTTTGACGCTCGACATCTAAGCTTTTGCAACGGAACCGGAAATGACATTAGATTCTGCTGCTTTCATGGCTTCAAACCTTAGTTCCTTTGCCTGGAACTTCAACCTTAGTTCCTTTGCCTGGAACTTTGCCTGGGTAAACTTGTTCATTCTCTGCTGGTTCCTTCTCCACAACTGCTTTTGCTGGATAGATCACAGCATCATTCCCTGGGTTGTAGAAAGATGCAATTGACATTCTTGTTCCATCTGTTTGAGCAATAACTCGGTGCATCACGCTCTTGTACTTCCCATTGGTAATCACCTGCTCCAAGCATTAAGCCACTCAGATTTTCATTTTTAATGATGTTTCATAATTCTCTTTGATGAATTTGATTTTTTTCATTGGCGTAGGAAAGGTCAAGTCTTACCTCAATCTGGTCACCAAGGTTGATGACAATGGAATGGCGCATAGGTGAAACATTGATCCACTCACCATCCTTGAGTAGCTGGAGACCGCTGACTTTATCATCTTGGAAGAGCAAAATGATGCCACCGGCATCACTATGTGCTCTGAGTCCCTTGATTAAATCTGGGGTGGGGCATGGTGGGTAGTTGCTAACCTTGGTTCCAAAGTTTGGACCCTTTGATCCATGGAATGCTTTCTTGAGGTATCCTTTGTCCAATCCAAGATTCTCGCATAGCAAGTCTAAAAGTTCCTCTGCCAGATTTTCTAGTTTACAAGCAAAATCCTTCATTAATCTCCTGCATAATCATTCCATAGAAACACAATGATTTGCAGTATATGGAAGGAGGTGAATTTGCTGAATGATAGAATTAATTACATATGTATTGTTTTCTTGTTTACCTGTATTCATCCCCAAGATCAGGTATTTCGGAGACGTTGGAGGTGGGGAGATGACGCAGGAAGAAAGTGCTCTCCCAGTCCATATTGGTAACTTCGGTCTTAACACCTTCTAATGCTTTGGCTGCCACCGTTTCTTTAAACCTCTGTTCCATACACTTCTTGTAGTGCTCTTTTGTCATTCTTTCCACAGTGTCCAACAGCTCATGCGAAATCCCATGGTTCACCAACTAGACATACATACAACATATACACAATAAAATCCACACTGAAACTACCATTTGTGTGTGCAGTCTTTTGTTCTGGGCAAATGGGAATTTGAACCCATGACCCCACCATAAATTGCTATAGTTACATGTTTGATGTTGAAAAGAATACGAGATACCTCAAAGAATCCCCAGTTCTCACAAGCATCCTTAATCTTGTCCATGGTGGCTCCTCTCTCTTCGCCATTTAGCTTCTTCATGTTGATCAAAGGGAAGTTCTCCATCTCTTTGATTATGCTCTATATTTCTTCTGCCTTTTGTTGTGTGTTTGTTTTATTACTTCTTATGAAGAATGCAGAATGTTCTGTTTCCTATTTATAGGAGATTCAGGTATCTTTCACGACAAATTAGGCATGCTCGAGTAAGGTGGCAAAGATTGGAAACTAAGAAAAGTTTGACTCATTTAGGGCTACCTGACATACAAAGCTTCTGGACGCTAAAAGGTATTTCTCTTTATTAAAATAATTACAACATTTTATTTGTCATATATTTAGTTATTATTCAAATATATCAATTTCCCTCGATAAAAATATTAAAAATAATCTGGAGGGCCATAAACAATATAATCATTATGTTGTAATGATTACTGATTAGTTCTATAAGGACGCTAAAAAATTTATTGAATTTCTTTTGGAACGAAGAAAGTTAACATTTTTTGTTATTAAAATGTATTTTAGATATTTGATAAATGCTTTTATTGAAGTATTGTGATTTTTATTGAATGCGAATAATTTGTAAGGGCATATGATGTAAGAAATTAAGTATGCATTGCACATAGACATTCCATTTTAAAATTTCCATCTTTGCCTTGTTAATCACATTGTCGATGTTAAGGTAGATATAAATAATTGTGAGGACCTACTTTGAAGGCAAAATGGATTTTATGGCTGCTAAAATATTTAGTTTTATATTCTCTTCCATTTTGAATTATATGCAAACGTTTCTTGTATGGGTCGTTCGGAAATAAAAATAACACGTTTCTTTCAGATAAGATTTCAACTCAAATCTGTCTTTTTTGCTCATTAATAATCATTACTGAATATTTGTGGTATTGGTTTTGGATCATAATTCTGTAAATTTTCTCGCTATGGAGAAATATTTTGGATACTTGATTATTAGTCAAACACAATTGTTAAAACCATATGTAATGTTTTACTTATTTTGGAAGAGAGAGGGATCACGACTTCTGTCTGTCCGTTATGAGCTTATGCAACATCTTCCATCTCAATATCGATGCTATTATTGTCATATGGGTAATTTTTAACTTGAAATTTGAATTTTCAAACAAACACAACATCTATTACAAAATAATAATTTATGATGCTTACTTTTTTTAAACAATGTTCTGTTTTGTAATTTGAGAAGTCCTACTTGTATTATAATTTTGTTGTTCAAAGATAGATTTGGATATGGATGATGGATTTAAGAACCTTTCAATGGATGACAAGATAAGGATGTATTGTATCTTCACATGCTTTTTAAATGTCATTAGCAAATGCATTATAAAATAGATCTTGTTGAAGTATATATAATCTATATACCACAAAGACACACGCACACTCACCATTAGTGAGTCTTAAACTCGTGACCTCCATGGAGGCTAGGGTCTACCAGTAACCTTAATACCGATAGGCCAATGACCTTTTGATATTTTTTCTTAATTGGTGAATAATGTTTTTTGAATTTGTTTTTATATCGTCACATAGTTTTGGAGTAATGATGAAAATATGCATGGAACCCAGGCCCTGTTATGTATTTGGGCAAAGTCTTCCCACTCCTTTGCCAATTGAGCTACACGCCAGAGGCAAATAATTGATTATTTTACAATATAGCGTTTTTGTATATTCTGATATATGTTGCTTAGAGAAATATTTGATTATTAAGTAAAGATATGTTGCAATTAATTACAAAAATATCAAATTCCTAACACATGCATACCAATATTTGAGAATTAATGGTTGTAGTGTTTCATATTCATAATATATTATTAGATTATGAGGGAGGTAGGAAAAAACACTTAGGTAACCATTAGTGCAAAATTGCGTCGTTTTGATGGTAAATTGATTATAATTTTAGTAATAAAAATATATAAAAAAAATGATGACGAACAACTACAAATTGATGAATAGATGTATGCTAGTGATAAAAATTACGAGAAATTATGAATAGATGGAAAACCACGAGCTTGTAATAAAAAACTAGTAGCTGGTAACATGAACCTAGAAAAGAATGACACCTCATTATCGTTTTATATAAATTGCCTTAATCTAAGTATCCTTGATGATTCATTCACTTCTACTTCCATGAACAAAACAAAATGTCATTCACTTGAACGCAAATACGTCGTAAATGAGCATTGAACTTTTATGTTTTCGTGTTGACATTATTGAACAAAAAAAATGATTGCATGTTTGGATATTTGTAATGGTATGGATTACATTATTTGATCTATTCGTATACAAATTAGCTAATTTAAGGTAAAATCAAATGAGTTTGATAAGGCAATAAACTGTAAAGAATATGTGGAACCTTATTAGATTACTCTTCCAAAAAGCCTTTGAGGAGGTTCCAACATATATAGGGAAATAAATGGTCCAAGTCCAACCGATATAGGACCCCTAACACGCCCCCTCCAACGGAAGCTAGACGGGCACAAATTCTCCCGTGTTTTAAGAGTGGCTAGACGAGTAGATACTGTTGCAGAGTGTCGAGTGCCTGGAATGGTAGGTCTTGGTTTTGTTACCATGTCAGAATATTTGGAACTCCATTAGATTACTCTCCAAATGAGCCCTTGAGGAGAGAAAGGAGGTTCCAACATATATAGAGGATAAACGGTACAAGTCTAGCCGATGTGGGATTCTAATAGAAAATGTTTGCCATTTTTCGTTAACAGAAGTATATACCATCAGCCATTGGATGCTTATGTCTTGTTTGGTACAGTGGAATGAAATTGCAAATGAATATAATGGACAAGTAAACAAAGCGAGCACTGTAATGTGATGGGTCACTACCATTCATTATTGTCTTTGGTTGGCTTTCAGTAATAGGTGACAAAATGGCAAGTTGGGTAGTGGGTCTGGGTTGAATGGACAAATGTTTAGGCTGGGTCAAAACAGGGGTCGATTCGAGATGACCCGCCAACTCCTTTTTTCCTTTATTATAAAATTTTATAAATACTTAATATATTAAATATGATCACATTATTAAAATTACAATCCATTCTTTTCAATGTATGAAGTAGTAAACATTCAAATATGCTTTAAGCAACTTTTAAACCATTTGAGCCGTCTCCTTTTTAGGTAAAAATTTTAATTGTAACCATTTGACCCGTTAACAATAAAATAGAACCCGAATCGGTTCGTTCTTATGTACACGGGTTGAATTTGTCACCTCTAGCTTATAGGAATGATTTCATTGTTTGATATGCACTAAACATGTGAAGCCTTTGTTTAGACATCTTATGGGACCAAATTATATTTTCAGTATATCAAGTACTTAACATTTTGGTCAATTTAACTTATGTGGACCAATAACTTTTGGAGGAGTTGAGTACATTATGCTGGGGACATATGCTTACCTTTCATAATCGAAGTAGAAACTGCGTCATCTTGTTTGAGATGTATCTAAAGCATTTCTTTTATTGGTCTTCAATTTTATTACGTAACGCTTTTATATTCTAACATTTTATCACTAAACTTTTTATAAACGAAAACTTGGTCTCTTGCTGTACAACAGCATGCTGAAATTTGCATCATGTACTATAGCATTGAGTTTGATTGTGATGGTGAAATGTTTGCTTCTGCTGGAAAGTTTTTCACTTCTCGATGGTGAGTTTTCCACTTCTTGATGGTGTACAACAGCATACTGAGTTTTGCATTATGTGCTTCAAGGCGTATAAAAGGTTTTTCACCTCTTGATGGTGAGTTTTCCATTCCAGATTCTTTTCTTTAATAGTAATAATGGCTGAGTATGGCCTGACAATGTACTCAGTTTCAGAAAGATTGATATTTCATAATATTCAAGTATCAAAAAAGCTACTTATTAGGTATTATGAACAACTGAAAATTGGTGAGAGAAGGATAAGTAGGGTGGATATTTGTATGTCAAAATCAGTAATGTTGTTGTCGTTAGATATTCTTGTGAAATGGCTTTAATTGATTGCAACTGTAAGTTCTTGGTATCTTGCAATTCTTTTCTGTTTTGTTGCTTGTGCACCTCTGTAGTCATGACGCTAAAACATCTTCAAGTTGTGAAAATGTAAATACTTACTGGTTCCAAATGTGGATGCTCATGATTTCAGTGATACCTTACTTGCAGGTTGATAATAATCCCTCAGAAGTAACACTGCCCTTTATGGAGATGCCCACACAATCAACGGTTAGTTACTTGAACTGGTACAAGCATATAAATAGCCATATATCCACAGTGATTGAACTGGAACAAGCATATAAATAGCCATATATTCACAGTGATTGCCCTCGGGCGTGTAGCTCAGTTGGCAAAGGGGTGGAACAACTTTGCTCAAATACACAACAGGTTCAAGTTTGAATCCTGCAGGAAACGGGCTTGAACCCCTCCTCTAGCCTCAGCCGCAGAGTCTGCTCTGAAATGCCTCCTCACACGTGGTTCCTAGGGGGCGGGTTCCTTGTGGGGCCAGTCAGGGTTGCTGATAATCAACCTTTGCTCAAATATCCAGCAGTGATTATGAAAGAATAATAACTGTTTGGGATATGAACCGAACATGTAATTGGGATGCTGGTTACAAGGTGAATTTCAATGCTTCCATATAAGGTTTTGCATAGGTATAGAAAACAACAAAATCCTTCTATTAAGAGCTGTGTTGATTATTTTGTTTGATTCTGCACATTCAGAGTGATGCAATACGAAGAGCACGACAAACGGGTCCGGAGTGTTGATTCTTACCACTTAGAACCATCAATACTATCAGGTACTGATATTTGTAAGGCACTATCATACCATATTTTCTCCTTATCAGTTCACCAATTTCATGCATGTTCGTTTTTGTTAAAAACCTTGTAGTTTATCTCTCTTGATAGTTAGTAATTGTGGTCTAAATGTTTTAAGTCTACATCTTCAGTGAATTTGGGGCTTGGAGACTTGTACAAGCAACTACTTTGTATGAAATGAATGAAATGTTTGACTTGACTAGTTGCCTTCATAGCAGAAGTTCTCATTCCCAATTCCCTTGTGCGCAACCTTCTAGCTACCATTTACTATTTTGACTAGAGCATAAAGCTTAAGAATCAAGTCTGTTGCATAGTGGACATTTCATCAGAATTAAACGAGGGTGCTATGAACAGAATGATGATTTTGCATTTCAAGAGATGAAACAAAAAAACAATAGTACCGTTTTTGTCACTTTGCAATGAATTGTAAGAACACTTAACCTACGAAAATGACTAAAATAATGAGATAAAACTCTTCTCAACACCGCGTAGAGATGAGAAAAGGAAAATATATGTAGTTCTCTATTGTTTGACACTTGACATCTATTTGTCTAAGCTGTTGCAACGGAACCGCAATTGACATTAGATTCTGCTGCTTTCATGGCTTCAAACCTCGGTTCCTTCGCCTGGAACTTCATGCCAGCATATAGTTTCATGTAATCATCAAATACGAATTTTGGGTAAACTCGTTCACTCTCTGCTGGTTCCGTTTCCACCAATGCTTTTGCTGGATAGATCACAGCATCATTCCCTGGGTTGTAGAAAGATGCAATTGACATTCTTGTTCGATCTGTTTGAGCAATAACTCTGTGCATCACACTCTTGTACTTCCCGTTGGTAATCACCTGCGATCCATGCAATAAACCAGTCAGATTTTCATTTTTAATGATGTTCCATTATTCTCCTTCATGATTTTGATTTTTTTATTTTTACTAGTGTAGGACGGGGTCAAGTCTTACCTCAATCTGGTCACCAAGGTTGATGACAATGGAATGGCGCATGGGTGGAACATTGATCCATTCACCGTCCTTAAGGAGCTGGAGACCGCTGACTTTATCATCTTGGAAGAGCAAAATGATGCCACCGGCATCACTATGTGCTCTGAGTCCTTTGATCAAATCTGGGGTCGGGCATGGTGGGTAGTTGCTAACCTTGGTTCCAAAATTTGGACCCTTAGATCCATTGAATGCTTTCTTCAGGTATCCTTTCTCCAATCCAAGATTCTCACATAGCAAGTCCAAAAGTTCCTCTGCTAACTTCTCTAGTTTACCAGCAAAATCCTTCATTAATGTCCTGCATAATCATCACATAGAAACACAATCATTTGGAGTATACAGAATGAGGTCAAATTTGCTGAATTATATACGTAACTACATATGTATTGGTTTTTTGTTTACCTGTATTCATCCCCAAGATCAGGTATTTCAGAGACGTTGGAGGTGGGGAGATGACGCAGGAAGAAAGTGCTCTCCCAATCCATGTTGGTAACTTCTGTCTTAACACCTTGTAAAGCTTTGGTTGCCACCATTTCCTTAAACCTCTGTTCCATACACTTCTTGTAGTGCTCTTTCGTCATTTTTTCCACCATGTCCAGTAGCTCATGCGAAATCCCATGGTTCACCAACTATACATACATACAACATATACACCATAAAATCCACACTGAAAACGACCATCTGTGTGTGCAGTGTTCTGTTCTGGGCAAATGGGAATTTGAACCCATGATCCCACCATAAACTGTTAAAGTTATATGTTTGATGTTGAATAGAATGAGAGATACCTCAAAGAATCCCCAGTTCTCACAAGCATCCTTAATCTTGTCCAAGGTGGCTCCTCTCTCTTCGCCATTCAGCTTCTTCATGTTGATCAAAGGGAAGTTCTCCATCTCTTTGATTATGCTGTATAATTCTTCTGCCTTTTGTTCTGTGTTTGTTTTATTACTTCTTATGAGGAATGCAGAATGTTTGGTTTCCTATTTATAGGAGATTCAGGTATCTTTCAAGACAAAATTAGGCATGCTCACGTAAGGTGGCAAAGATTGGAAACGAAGAAAAGTTTGACTCATTTGGGGCCTACCTGACATACAAAGCTTCTGGACGCTAAAAGGTATTTCTCTCTATTAAAATAATTTTCACATTTTATTTGTCATATATTTAGTTATTATTCAAATATATCAATTTCCCTCGATAAAAATATGGAAAATAATCTTGAGGGCCATAAACAATATAATCATTATATTGTAATAATAACTGATTAGTTCTAGAAGGACCCAAAAAAATTGTTGAATTTCTTTTGGAACGAAGAAAGTTACCATTTTCTTGTTATTAAAATGTGTTTTAGATATGATAAACGATTTTATTAAGGTATTGTGATTTTTATTGAATGCTAATAATTTATAAGGGCATGTGATGTAAGAAATTAAGTATGCATTGCACATACACATTCCATACTAAAATTTCCATCCCTGACTTGTTAATCACATTGTTGATGTTAAGGTGCATATAAATAATTTGGAGGACCCACTTTGACGGCAAAATGGACTTTATGGCTGCTAAAATATTCAGTTTTATATTCTCTTACCATTTTGAAATATATGCAAACGTTTCTTGTTTGGGTCGTTTGAAAATAAAAATAACAATTTTTTTCCAGATAAGATTTCAACTCGAATTTGTTTTTTTGCGCTCATTACATAATATTTATGGTATTGATTTTGGATCATAATTTGGTAAGTTTTCTCGCTGTGGAGAAATATTTTAGATATTTGATTATTAGTCAAACCCAATTGTTAAACCATAGTAATGTTTTACTTATTTTGAAAGAGAGAGGGATCACGATTTCTGATTTACGTGCCTGTTATGAGCCTATGCAATATTTTCCTTCTCAAAAATGATGTTTTTTGTATCAAATGGGTAATTTATAACTTGAAATTTGAATTTTCAAACAAATCAGTATCTAGTGCAAAATAGTAATTTAATGCTTACTCTTTTTAAACAATGTTCTATTTTTTTAATTTGAGAACTCCTACTTGTATTATAATTTTGTTGTTCAATGTTAGATTTGGATATGGATTTAAGAACCTTTCAATGGATGACAAGATGAGGATGCATTGTATATTCACATGCTTTTTAAATGTCATTAGCAACTGCTTAAAAAATTAGTTTTTGTTGAGTATATAATATCTATATACCACAAAGACGCACACGCACTTCTTACCTTTAGTGAATCTTAAAACTCTTGACCTCCACGGAGGCTAGGCTCTACCAGTAACCTTGATAGCGCTAGGCCAATGACCATTTGATATTTTTTATTAATCGGCGAGCAATGTTTTTTTTAATTTGTTTTTATGGTCACATAATTTTGGAGAGATGATGAAAATATCCATTGAAATTTGAAAGCAAAACTTAACTTCAAAAAAGGATGTAATGATAGAACCGATTAAACACATGTTGTCATTTGCTTCGTTGTCAAATGCGTATGTTGCTTAGAGAAATAATTGATTATTTTCACTTAGAGCGTTTTTGTACATACCGATGTATGTTGCTTAGAGATATATTTGATTATTAAGTAAAGATATGTTGCAATTAGTTACAAAAATATCATATTCTTAACACATGCATACCAATATTTGAGAATTAATGGTTGTGGTGTTTTATATTCATAATATATTATTAGATTATAAGGGAGGTAGAAAGAAACACTTAGGTGAGCATTTGTGGAAGATTGTGTCGTTTTGATAGTAAATTGATGATAATTTAGTAATAAAAATATATAAAATGATGACGAACAACTGCAAATTGATAAATAGATGTATGCGAGTGATGAAAATTATGAATTAGTGATGGAAATCTATGAGGTTGTAATAAAAAACCAGTAGTTGGTAACATGAACCTAGAAAAGGATGATACCACATTATCATTTTTTATAAATTGAATTAATCCAAGTATCCTTGATGATTCATGCACTCCTACTTCCATGAAAAAACAAAATGTTATTCACCTGAAGGCAAATACGTAAAATGAGCATTGAACTTTTATGTCTTTTTGTTGACATCATTGAACAAAAAAAATGATTGCATGTTTGTGATCCTAATCGATTAATTTTTTTGATCTATTGGTATACAAATTAGCTAATTTAAGGTAAAATCAAGTGAGTTTGATTAGGCAATAAATTATAAAGAATATGTGGAACCCCATTAGATTACTCTCCAAAAAATTCCCTTGAGGAGGTTCCAACATATATAAGGAAATAAATGGCCCAATTCTATCCGATGTAGGACTCTAACATGCCCCCTCCAATGGAAGCTAAACAGGCACAAATTTTCTTCTTGTGTTAACAGGGACTAGACGGGGGAGGGGGCTAAACGAGTACGTATTGCCCCAGAGTATTGAGTTCCTAGAGTGGTAGATCTTGGTTTTGACTTTTGATACCATGTCTGAATATGTGGAACTCCATTAGATTACTCTCTAAATAGCCCTTGACGAGAGAAAGGTGGTTCCAACATATATAGAGGATAAATGGTCCAAGTCTAGCCGATGTGGGATTTTAATAGAAAAAATATTGCTTTTTTTTTCGTTAACAAAAGTATATACCATCAACCATCAGATACCTATGTCTTGTTTGGTACAATGGAATGACATCACAAATGAATGTAATGGACAAAGTAACGAAACGAGCATTATAGTGTAATGAGTCACTACAGTTCATTATTGTGTTTGGTTGGCTTATAGTAACAGGTGACAAAGTTGGGTAATGGGTCTGGGTTGAATGGACAAATGTTTAGGCCGGGTCAAAATAGAGGGTAAAGTCGGGTTGACCCGCCAACTCTTTTTTGCCTTTATTAATGAATTGCATAAATAGTTAATATATTGAATATGATCACATTATTAAAATTTTGATGCATTCTTTTTAATGTATGAAGTAGTAAACATTTAAATATGCTTTAAGCAACTTTTAAACCATTTGAGCCGTCTCCATTTTAGGTAATTTTTTTAATTGTACCCATTAACAATAAAATAGAACCTGAACCGATTTGTTTTTATGTACATGGTCACCTCTAGCTTATAGGAATGAATCAACTCATTTCATTGTTTGGTATGCATGAATAGACACATAAAGCCTTTGTTTGGAATCTAACGGAGACCAAATTGATATTTTCATTATATCAAGTACTTAACATTTTGGTCAATTTAACTTGTCTGGAACAATAACTTTTGGAGGAGTTGGGGACATATGCTTACCTTTCATAATCATAGACTCATAGTATAAACTGCATCATCTTGTTTGGGATGTATCTAAAGCATTTGTTTCATTGGTTTTTTTATTTCTACGTGAAGCTTTTATTTTCGAACATATTATCACTAAATTTCTCTTTTAGAAATGAAACCATGACATTGAGTTTGATTGTGATGGTGAAATGTTTGCTTCTGCTGGAGTTTCAAGGCGTATAAAGGTTTTTCACTTCTTGATGGTGAGATTTTCACTCCAGATTCTTCCCTGTAATAGTAATAATGGCTGGGTTTGGCCTGAGAATGTACTCAGTTTCAGAAAGAGTGATGCTCGTAATGTTAAAGTATTAACAAAGCGATTTATTAGGTATATGAACAACCGAAAATTGGTGGGAAAAGGATAAATAGGGTGGATAATTTATACATCAAAACCAGTAATATTGTTGTCGTTAGATATTCTTGTGAAATGGCTTTAATTACAACTGTTAAGTTCTTGGTATCTTCCAATTCTTTTCTGTTTTGTTACTTGTGCACCTCTATAGTCATGACACTCTAAAACATCTTCAGAATGTTGCGAAAATGTAAATACTTACTGGTTCTGTATTTGGATGCTCGTGATTTCAGTGCTACCTTACTTTCAGGTCGATATTAATCCCCCAGAAGTACACTGCCCTTTATGAAGATCCCACACAATCAAACCTTAGTTACTTGAGCTGGAACAAGCATATAAATAGCCATATATCCACAGTGATTGGCTTGGGCATGTAGCTCAGTTGGCAAAGGGGTGGAGCGGCTTTGCTCAAATACGCCATAAGTTCAAGCCGTTAAAGCTTGAATCCCTCCGCTAGCCTCAGTCGCTTAGTCAGCTCTGAAATGCCTCCTCTGGGGTTCTTAGGGGGCAGATTCCTTGTGGAGCTAGTCAGGGTTGCTGGTATTCAACCTTTTGCTCAAATATCCAGCAGTGATTATGGAAGAATAATAACTGTCTGGGATATGAACCCAACATGTAATTGGATGCTGGTTACAGGTGAATTCCAATGCATTCCAGTGCTTCCATATAAGGTTTTGCATATGTATATGCAACCCTTCTATTAAGAGCTGTGTTGATTATTTTGTTTAATTCTGCACATTGAGAGTGTGGTGGAGTATGAAGAGCACGATAAGGTCTGAAGTGTTGATTCTTAACGCATAGAACTGTCAATGCTATCAGGTACTGATATTTGTAAGGCGTTATCATACCATATTTTCTCCTTATAAGTTTACCGATTTTATGCATGTTCATATTTGGTAAAAACGTAGTAGACTATCTATCTTGATAGTCAGTAATTGTGGTCTAGATGTTTTAAGTCTATATCTTTGACGAATTGGTGGCTTGCAGACTTATACAAGCAACTACTTTGTATGAAATGAGTGAAATGTTTGCCTTGACTAGTTGACTTCATAAGAACCAAGTATGTTGCATAGTGAGATTTCATCAGTGAGTGAATGACTAAACGAGGGTGCTATGAACAGAACAATGATTTTGCATTTCAAGAGATGAGACAAAAACAACAGTACTGTTTTTTAGACTTTGCAATGAATTGTAAACACACTTAACCTGCTAGACGAAAATAATGTGACAGAACTCTACCCAACACCATATAGAGATGAGAAAAGGAAAATTTATGTAGTTCTCTGTTGTTTGATGCTTGATATTTAAGCTGTTGCAACAGAACCAGAAGTGACATTAGATTCTGCTGCTTTCATGGCTTCAAACCTCGGTTCCTTCGCCTGGAACTTCAAGCCAGCATATAGTTTCATGTAATCATCAAATACGAATTTTGGGTAAACTCCTTCACTCTCTGCTGGTTCCTTTTCCACCAACGCTTTTGCTGGATAGATCACAGCATCATTCCCTGGGTTGTAGAAAGATGCAATTGACATTCTTGTTCGATCTGTTTGAGCAATAACTCTGTGCAT